ATTTGCATTAATATTTGTATTATTATTATTATTATTTGTATTATTATTATTATTATTATTATTATTTGTATTATTATTATTATCATCTGTATAAATACATTAAAGTAATGAATAAATATTTAAGAAATAAGTATTTAACAATTTAACTGTTTCTTTTTTACATGTAATAAATTCTGCCACATTGAACAGAATATTTTTCTTTAAAAAAAAGCATAAAAAAACAACTTTTGACCGGTAGTGTTAATATTTTATTATACTATGTATATTATATATTAAAATAAATTATTTTCTTTCAAAATTTCTATTGATCAAAGAATCTTGACGATTCAAACTGATCAGCTTCCATGAAAATAAGAAGCACCACAACAGAGTTCAGCATTGCTAATAATTAGGGATATTTCTTGATCATCCAATCATGATTTCTGGAGGACCATGAGACACATATACAGGTCACATTTCAGCAAAGAATAGAGAAACTGCTGCTTATTAAAGCCTGCTGAGATTGAGGACTAGAGCACTTGTTACAAAAATAAAGTCCATTTTAGAGCAAAATATGACATTCAGTCAAAGCACTGGAATGAAAATATGAGAAAAATCAACCAGAATCTGCTGTTAGTCACAAACTCAAACATCTTACTGCTGTAAATCAAGCTGACAAGCGTTTTACACTGTGAATAAGATTAAGACAGACAACCACTTAAATAGTAATTAACATATATGTTAAGGGGATAGTTCATCCAAAAATGAATATTCTGTCATCATTTACTCACCTTTTACTTGTTTCATACCTAATGAGTTTCTTCTCTTCTGCAGAACACAAATAAAGATATTTAGAAAAATGCTGAAAGCCTGTAACCATTGACTTCCATAGTATTTGTTTACCCTACTATGGAGTTCACTGGTTACTGGTTTTCAGCTTTCTACAGAATATCTTCTCTTATGTTCAGCTGAAGAAAGAAACTCAAAGATTTGAAACACATAAGGATGATGAAATCGTGAAAAGATTAAAATTTTGGGTGAACTGTCCTGTTAACTTACATGCATGAAAATATGGGCACCATATGAATCTGATTTCACCGGAACCAATTATAATTTTTAATTGAAAAATTAAATAAATGAAAATAAATGAAAAGTTAATAAATAAAAAAATAGAATAAATTTGAAATAATATAAAATTACAAATTTTATTAAAATAGAAAAATTTTTAATAAAAGTAAAATAAAGAAAATATTGAATAAATAAAAAATATTAGATTTTAAATAAAAAATGAACAATAGAATTAATTGAAAATAATATAAAAAATGTAATTAAACAGAAAAATTAATTAATTTAAAATAAAATAAATGACAAATAAAATTAAATAAATGAATAATAATAATTGGAAAATAAAATAAAAATAAATAA